TATTATTTTTTCTCTGTGATTTTGACATGTGAATTTCTTTTGTAGTTTCTGATTCTTATGTGAGACTCAAACCTTCAAGTTTAGGTCTGCTTCTTTTTGTAAACTATATGTGTCTTTGTGGTTTACTTTTTGGGCATGAAAAGCTGGTTCCTCTAAGCTTCCAGTTCTCTCTTTTGCTTTTATATTGGTGTGGCCAGATTGCTTTTGTCTTCAGGAGTACCCACAATGCCCAAGTCAGATGAGGATCAGATGCTCTCAGGCTTTCTCCTAAGGTCTGGATCCCTCCAGGAAAGATTTTGGCCTCAGGATTTGGGGGTTGGGCTGGCCTGGGAGCCAGGCCCAGGAAAGATGCTAGTCTAGGGAAGCTGGTGGCCCTGCCACCCAGAGATGCAAAAGAAGATGGGGGTGGGAAGTAGCCCCAAGGGCTCCTGGGGAGTGCACTGAGGAGCTGGGTTGGTCTGGATGCAAAGGATCAGGAAGGGGAAAGGTCAGCCCTTGCGACGGGAAAGAGGATGGTGGTTGGTGTGGGGCCAGGGAAGTAGAGGGAGGTGAGGGTGGGGCCAGGCCCAGAGTGCTCCTGGGGATCCGAGAAGGAACTGAGTGCAAAGGATCAGGAAGCAGTGGTGGTTCCCTTGGTGTCTGGGGCGCCAAGACAAGGAATGGGACAGGACCCAGGCTAGGAGGAGAGATGGGTGGGGGAGATGGAAGGGTGAATGAGGCTGGGGGAGTCAAGGCGCGAAGGTTGTGATTGACTTACCATAGAGAGAGGCCTGCAGGTCGGAGAGAGAGGTTCGTAGTCTTTCTATGAAGACAGGTCTTGGGACTGTTCTCCTGAGAACAGCTTAGCGCAGCTGAAGTTAAAAATCCTTGGCTAGATGGCCTCAGTGAAAAACCATCTCAGTTAGTGTTCACCATAGACCAAGTCACACCATCAGACAGTGGGACCTACCGGTGCTGCACCAGAAGCTAGAAATTCACCTTCAGGGCCACTGTCTCTCTGTTCTAGTCACAGGTGAGTCCTATTACCCCTAATGGCCTAGGTGGAGTAGTGATTAGGGCTGAGAAGTGGGAAATTTAAGTCACTACTTCAGGTTCTACACAGGCAGCCTTCTTCTTGAGGACGTACTTTCTAGTACTCAGTCTTTTGCCATCACTCCAACTGGCACATACTCTTTCTTCAAAGTACGTACACAAAGGTAATCTCATTTTATCTTTAACAAATCTTTCTAGAGTGGCCCTTTCATTTTTATTGGAAGATTGAGTCATCAAGAGATGAGACTCGTTCTACTCATTGACTCGGCTAGTAAAAGCAAACACAGGTCTGTAATGTTGGCCTAATTTAGAGTTCTCTCAGATACGAGGCTGTGATTTCCCAAAATGGACAAAGAGATGGGTTTGACACAAAGTGGATGATTGCTGTAAGAAGCATTTAACTGTAAGAAACAGAAACCCCCTTAAGTTCCTCAAGATACCACTTTTTTTAATGCTTTTAAATTTTTTATTATTTTATGTGCATGAATATATTGCCTGCATGTGTGTAAGTGCACGGGTGTCATGCAATGCCTGTGCAGGTCAGAAGAGGGTGTCAGATCCCCTGGACCTGGAGTTACAGATGGTTGTTAGCCACCATGTGGGTGCTGGGAATGGATCCTGGGTCCTCTACAAGAGCAACCAGTGCTCTTAACTGCTGAGCCATCTCTCCAATCCTTAAGCTAAAAATAAAAATAAATAAATAAAGCAGGAAACAATAAAGCAAAAAGTATGGATAGCCTCCATGAGTTCAGTTTTCTAAAATCAGAAGTCAGAAAACTGACAGGATCCAAGAAGAAGTCATTCTGGGTCTCAAGTTCACCAAGGCAGCAAGGTTTCTGATCTCTGCCTACATCCTTCATCTGTATGTTTCCCCTGCTCCAATACAACCTTGGTACAGATTCAATATGACACTCTAGCCCAGCTCTATAAAGGGTCCATCAGAGAACTCTGTTTCACAAACAATAGAGCAAGCCTTCAGAGTTCTGTGAAAAATATCTACTACCTAGATTTCTATACCCAGCCAAACTACAAATCTATGTGAGAAGAGACATTGTCAGATATACAATGACTAAAAAAGCATGTGAACTTTTTTTCAATGCTGGGGATGGAACCCAGGACCTAAAACATGCTAAGCAAGTGTTTTACCACTGACCACATCCCAATCTCATGTGAGCATTTTAAAGAAGCTACCAACCCAGCATGGTGGCACACATCTGTAATTTCAGCATTCAGGAAACCAAGGTAGAAGGATCATAAGTTTCAGGCCAGCCTGGGCGATATAGCCAGACCCTATCAAACATTATCTTATTCCCCTACCTCCAATTTAAAAACATCTGAGGCAGGGCCTTTTAATAAACATTGCCATTGTCTCCAATGGTTACTAATTACTGAAATTTTCTGTTCAGTCCAGTTTGATCTACATTTCCTTCCACGCTGCTCTCTTCCCATCTGACCTTGCATTGGCTTTCAGCACTTTTAATTCCTCTCTCCCTCATCAAAGTCCACTCCCCTGGCTCCTGACTGTTCTCTGCTGGTTCCATTTGTCTTAATTTTTCTTCTTTCCTGCCTCTATTTCCTCCTCCCATCTGTAAAACACAAGTCCTCCTCAAGACTCTGTCCCCACCCATTCTACCCCTTCCACTCTCCCCTTTATATCCACGCCGATTAAAACCTGCCACACCCTGTAAGTGACCCACAGATCAACTTACCCAGCTCTACTTTCTTTCCAGTTTTAACTAAGCATCCCCACTCACATCTGGGCTTCCACTTTTTGGAAGCTCTACCATCTCCTCAAACTCAAGCTTATCCTCCTGAGACCCATTTCTGTCCATGATTCTCAGTCAAAACCCTGATTCCTCATTTTTATCACCCATTCAGTAGTTACTAGTTACTACTAGTTTTTTCCCTACATTTTTTCCTTTCTTTCAAAAACTGTTTCCCAAGTCTCTATCACTTCACTGTTAAAATATTACTATAGTCTAACTACTGGGTTCTTTGAGCATATCAACTTTTTCTCACACTACTAAAGGGTCTATTACCTAATAAATGATCTACCAACTCTCTAAGTATTGTCTTCTATACACTGCCAGCAGACTGACCTAAAATGCTAATTTGTATATTACTCAAAGAATTAATGGCTTTTCAGTGTTTATGATGTCTAAATTACTTTTGCCCAGTACAAGTTTCAATAAAATTTAATCTATTTATGTGGCTACTCTGCTCTAGTTAAAGTACATGTGGTGGTTTAAATGAGAATGCTCCCCATAGGCTCCAAGTATTTGGACATTTTGTTCCCAGTTGGTGGCACTGTTTTGGAAGGTCTTAGGTGTGGCCTTGCTGGAGGAAGTGTGCCACTGGGGGCAGGCTTAGTGAGGTTTTAAGTCTTGCTGGATTTCCAGTCTCTGTGTCCTGTGTCTCTTTCTCCTCCATCCACTTCTTGCCGCCATGCCTCCCTGCCATGATGGACTCTGATTCCTCTGGAACTGTAATCAAATAAACTCTTCCTTTTATAAGTTCTCTTGGTCACAGTGTTTTATCACAGCAACAGAAAAATAACTGATACACTGCACTAGTGGATAGCCTCTATCCTTCTCTTAACAAATACTTATTCTGCACCCTGAGCACAGTGCTAAGCCTTGGACAACAGGAGGTACAATGGTTTTTGCATCTTTAATGTTCATATTCTCCTCATATAGCCCAACAGTTTCTTGTATGTTTTTTTTTTTAATTTTGTGTATGAGTGTTTGCTCATACCACATGTGTGCAGTGCCCCCAGAAGCCAGAAGAGGGTATCAGATCTTCTGGAATTGTAGTTAAAACCAACCGTGGCTGGGCATCATGGTGCAAGCCTTTAATCCCAGTACTCAGGAGGCAGAGGCAGGTGGATCTCTGTGAGTTCAAGGCCAGCCTGGTCTACATAGTGAGTTCTAGGACAGCTGGGGCTACAGGGAGACCCTGTCTCAAAAAGACCAAAAAAATTAAAAATTAAAAAAAAAAAAAACCCAACTGTGAGCCACCGTGTGGGTGCTGGAAACTGAACCCAGGTTCTCCGTCACAGTAGTATTCTCAACCTCTGAGCCATTACTCCAGTCCCCATCACAAGTGTTTCTACTTGAGATTATTTTCCCTAATTAGGAATGTCTGTATTTTCTCAGTAAGCACATATAATTACCAAATGTGGAAATTGGGCTCCTCCTGGGAGGCAAAACTAGTAAGACCAGTTAGGTAAGAGATGGTACTAATAAACAATGCTCATCAAATATGAGTGCTTAGTGTCAGCACTATGCTAATATCAATCTCCATAGACTTTCAGGAGATACTATTGCCCTGACAACTTATGCAAAAAGGTCATGTGTCTAAGTTCACTCACACAGGCAATGAGGGAAGCTCCAGATCTAGCCCAATTGCTTGATCCGTTCCAGAAGACGATCTATAAATGAAATTTGAGGATACCCAAGTCCAAGGTGATGTCTTACTTTTCTGTCAAAACTCTATAGAGTTTCTCCAAAGTTTATCTACATCTCCAGTATTTGGCAAATTCTGTGTTTATTACTGCTTAAGAATATCTTCAGAGGGGAAAAAAAAGAGTATCATCAGAGTCCACAAATGTCAAAACTATCTGAGAAGCAAATTATACTTGAAGGTATGCTCCAAGATCACATAAGAGATGTTAGGAGATGATGCAAAGGGAGATAAAGATGTAATTTCTGTCGGGGGTGCCCACTCTTCTGTAAATAAACCCTGACCCTATGCTTTGTTAGCAAGCCCAATAAACTTGTCAGGATTTAAAAAAAAAAAAAAAAAAAAGAGGGGCTGGAGAGATGGCTCAGTGGTTAAGAACACCGGCTGTTCTTGCAGAAGACCTGGGTTCAACTCCCAGCACCCACATGGCAGCTAACAACTGTCTGTAACTCCAGTTCCAGGGGATCCGACAGCCTCTTCTGTCCTCCTCAGGGATTGCACAACATGGATGCACTTATCAACATGCAGGCAATACACACGTACACCTAAAATAAAAATAATAAAAAAAGAACCACCAAAAAATATGATTTCTGAAATCCTCCCCTGACCCTATGATTCTCTTTGAACCCAGAATAGGGAACTACACAGAGACAAGACTGAAACAAAGGCAATACCGTGACTTCAACCATAGTTTAGCATTCTCGGTCAGCTTCCTACAAGTAAAAGTCTGGTTGGTGCTGGTCACCAGCCTGGTGGCTCTTCAAGGCATGCCCGGAAGAGATTTAAGCAGTCCAAGCTGTAAGAGTGTCCTATCTGCCAACTTAGTTATTTCCTAGGAGGGAAAGTACAGAAAGGAAGCTTAGAGGGAGAGGGAAATGTTCCCTACACCCTGGCTGTGTACAAAAAGTGCAAACCAGTATGTGGGTGAAACTGGTTTAAAGGTGCTAAAGTTCTCATAATTGTCTATCTACATGAAGACAGATGAATCAGACTTTCCACTGCATAAGAGTTCAGACCTGTTAGACAAGGCCTGTCAGAAACAATAAACATGCTGCCTCCACTCACTAGATGAACATAGTGCTACAAGCTGAGGCAACAGATCTCAGGTTATTATATAGAGATGAACAATGTAAGAGGCAGAGTTGGTCTAGAGGTGAGGTTTGAACAACACAGCTTCTTAGAAAAACTGATAACCATAAAAGTATTAAAAGATTGGAACCAAGTTGGGTGTGGTGGCACACGCCTTTAATGCCAGTGCTAAAAGGCAGAGAGGTGGATCTCTGTGAGATCAAGGTCAGCCTGGTCTATATACGGAGTTCCAGGCCAGCTGGGGCTACAGAGAAACCCCATTTCAAACAAAAGACAAAAATAAGAAAAAAAAATATTGGAACCATCAATAATCTGTCATTATACTTTTCCTTAACAATAACTGAGGCAAATTTCGGCCTGTCCTCGGCATTACTTCATTTAAGCTTTTCTCATACTAATAACTTAGTTTGAATGACACTGGAATGTAAGCTTTATAAATGCAAACTTTTCTTGTCTACCCTAACAAAAAGGTAGTATTAGATACACAGTAAGTGCTTAATAAACTCATTAAGGACCTTGTATGCCGAGTTGGTGAATTTAACATTGGATAACCAAATAAATATCTGGATTATTTATCAGGAAACAGCAATGAAGAACTTTAATGCTGCCCATCACAGGAAGTGATACAGGCCCTTCTGACTCTAAAACTTAAGACTCTACATAATGACCTACAATATGTTAAGCACTTCTACTTCCATCACAATCCTCTGCATTTTGACACTGTCTCCCTCCTCATATATCCACAGAGACAACTCCCTATTCCAGCCCCTTAGCTACAAGCCATCAAATGGAGACAGATCTTATCTGTGATCCTTGGCAAGATGTGCCAGATGTAAAACTTTGCGTTTTCACATGAGAATGTTGAGTATCAAGCAGTCTCAGACTAAGGATTATCCTTAGACATAATTTATTGAATACAAGTTTCCCAAGATGGTTGGGCTACTTTGTTATTAGTAAACTTTACTTCTTCAGGCACAATACAAACTCTAAGGAGGAAACTGAATCTAGCCCTGCAGCCTGTCGCTACCTTTTACTCCTGTTACCCTAGAACAAAAGTCTCTGCTTTCTGTTCCTTTTTCTAATGTGAAGAATGAACCTTTAAATCCAATTATTTGTTTTCTCCTTCTCACAAGAGGCTTTAGAGGTATACAAAAGAAAAAAATCAAAGTTAAATATTTAAACGTATATACTATTTATGAAGCTTCTGTGTGTAAGAGATTGAGACGATCCCACCATGCAGCCCAAGCTGCCTCCAACTCATGATTCTAGCTCAGCCTCTCGAGTGCTGGGATTAGAGTGTGACCCACCGTGCCTAGCTCCTCCTTTTCTTTATCCTTCAACTCAAGGCTTGGTAGAATTATGGAAGAGGAAGTGTGCAGGAGAATAAACACATTTTCTTGGGCCCAGAAAGATCATCAAGACCAAGTGCTTTCAGGTGAAGAAAAGGATGAGGGAGTTTCCTGGATCTCTGGGACTTTGGCTCCTACAGCACTACACATATACTCCGACTTATTTTCCAGTCCCTTTCTGGTCATGAGGGCCTATCAAACACACATCACAGGACAAGTGAAACTTATTATATCATGTATTTTGTTTCACAACTAGTCTAAGTTGTGAGGTAATGATACAAATTTTTCATTTTCTTTCTACAGTTTCATAAACCCTATGCCAAAAGAAACTTTAAAATCTTCTGGAAACATAAATCTGACAGCATAACAGAAGGTTCAAGGAATAGCTGTAAAATGCTCCAACAATCTGGTGGGCCAGTGAGATGGCTCAGCAGGTAAAGGCACTTGCTGCCAAGCTGGATGACTTGAGCTCAATCCCAGGGTGGAAGTTGAGAACCAGCTCCCACAAATTGTCCTCACACGTACACTGTGGGACACCCCCTAAGTAAATAAATAAAAAATACTCCAAGAATCTCAAAGACTATAGAAAAAACTTCTCAATCTCCCTTTCTTACCTACTTTCTTCCCACCTCAGCACCAATCAATAAAACATTTCACAAATGTGGCTGGTGAATGAATCATTCTTAATATTGCATAAGTACGTACGTTTTTATACCACAAAATAACTTTTTCCTCTCTCCACCTGTAACACAGTAAAATAAGCAAGTTTTGATTGCTTATCAATTGCGTGTGTGTCTGATGTGCATGTGTCAGTGCACAGAGTGCATGTGGAGGTCAAGAGGACAACTTTCAGGAACTGGTCCTCTACCATGGGTTCTGAGGATCAGACTCAGATGGTCAGGCTTGTGCAACACGTGTTTTTACCTGTGGCACCATCTTGCTGGCCCCAAATAAGCAAGTTTTAAAAAATGAGAACACCAAGAGTAAAGAGATGGCTTAGCGATTAAGAGCACTTGCTATGGAATCATGAAGACTAGTATTTGGCTCTCAGCACCCACCTAACAAGTCAAGCAGACCTGTAACCCCAGATCTGCAGAGGGCAGAGACAGGAAGATGGTTGGGGCTTGCCAGCTTCTGGCCTAGTGGAGAAAACATGAAACCCCAGATTCAGGGAGAAACCTTGCCTTGAAGAAATAGGTAGAGAATGACAGGGGACCCCCCAACCACCTTTCGGCTTCCATGTGCACATACACCCGCACACACCACACACAATAAATACACCTCTAAAAATAAAAAAAATACACTGTAAAGGAAAAAAGAGATTAAATAAGCAAGCATAGGTAGGAGAGGCAAGCACAGTGACTGACAGGAATGAAAGAGACAAAGACAGATCTTGGTGTTTGATGGTACCCACACACACTGCTGAGAGAAGTGGAAGATGTGTGCACACCCAGATTATAATTGTCCAGCTTCAACTGAAGAGCTGACAGCCTCTTTAGTCATTGTTCTTTAAAAAAAAAAATCCTCAAAGCAGTATTTTCTTTTTTCTAAACTCACAAGCCCTCTTTGACTTTGGCCAGGTTAAGCAGGGCAAGGGGCAGAAGAGTTCCAACAGTAGGAGCCCATGAATACAAAGACAGACAATTTAGCAGGAGCTACAAAGTGAGCCATCAAAATAGACACCTTACACCTGTGATCTTTTTGGCACAGACCTACCAAACGTGGGAGCTAAGAACTGTGGATAGATAACAAGACCTAGATGTTATAGTGAGATCTTTAGTAAGGATGGTCCTGAACCTCAAACTGAAGATTTTTTACTTGTGTCCAACAGAGATAAAAAAGACTAGGCATGAAATTTAA